TGCAGAAAAAAATTTTCGTTTAACTGCTTGTTACATTTCTTTAGAAGGGAACGCGGAAATGATGGAACCTTAGACAGCTCCTATTGAATACAATCCGGTTTTCACCAAAACCACTCAAGGAGGCTCTCAGAAATGCGCGGATAGTAACTATCCCATTAGATTGTTCGAAAAACTAATTGGTAAAAAACATTATGGAATCAAGACAGACCGGCTCTTCCTCACCGTCAATCCGACATAGTGTTGGATGGTACAAAAATATTCCTGTTGGAAAAAATGAAGTGGCCAAGTGGATGACACAATCAGCAAAAAGGGCAGGCTTGAATGTTGAAAACAGAAAAATCACCAACTATTCTAGCAGAGCTACCGCAGTTTCCAGTTTGGATGAAGCTGAGGTGAATGAGCAACAATTGATAAAAATTACTGGGCACGCTCATGCTAACTCTATTCAACCATATCTGTAGATGGATGAACAACACCACGAAAATATTGTTTGTGGCCTGCGAAACACTGCAATCACGTCAACTGTCACCTCAAAAGTGGAAGTCAATGAAGTTATGAAAGTTACGAAAAGCCAAGCAGCAACGATTTACATTAACTGTGTTTTCAATTGTACTAATCTTTGTTTGCATGAATAAATTAAAAAAATATATTGTGGCAAGTTTATTCAGTAAATAATCTTACCGAATTACAGCTCGTGCTTTGAAATTATCGGTAATTTCGACCCGAAAGCTGAGATCAAGTGATCACGAGTGTCACTTTGACGTTTCAATTTCCTGACGCGAAGCGGAGGGAAATTGTCAAAGATGACAAGAGTAATTTTTAACAATATTTTCTAAAACAACCGTAAAAATCAGGAGAAATGTAAGCACAGTTTCTATCTAAATTTAGCACCTGGTACCTGTAAATTGGCGGTCGGCCAAGCTAGCGGGTATGCGCACACTCAACGTATATATAGTCTTTGCCATTTCTATTAGCCAAATACACTGACGTCATCCGAGGTCATCAAGATGGCAGCGTTTGACAACTAGCCGGTTTTCTCATAAGAGTCAATGCTAATATTTTCGGAATGCATTTAAATTTGAGAGTGTGTCAATTGTGTTTTTATAGCTTGGTAAGTTTGTTACAGTTTCTAGACTGTGTAGATATCTGTAAAACGCACCATAACGTTTGAATATGCTTAAAAAATAATGTTTTCCAATGTGATGTACAGGTTAACTTCGCTGAATCTTATATTATTTGTTTTGCAAATTAAATCTTTATTAATGTACATCAATGTTTTTTAAATACACTAGCACCTTAATATTATAATATTTTGTATTTTAGGAGAAAATGCCTAAATTTTGTGCTGTTGTGGGTTGCGCGAATCGAAGCACCAGAAATGCGGACAAATTTTTTTTTCCTTTCCCAGCAATCAGCAACAATAAAGGTAAATATATACAGGATGGGGAAAAAAGGCGGAAGCTCTGGTTAAAAGCCTTGAAACGGGTGGATTTAACGAAGCCAAAATAAAGTATTCCTATGTTTCTTCGGATCATTTTATTTTAGGTACAGTAACTACCTATTAGATTTACAGTTTCTAATAAATTACTACATTGGTGCTCTTTTAGGTAAACCCGCAGATTTGTCGGATGTGGACCATCCTGATTTTGTTCCATCACAAAATTTAGGATACCAAAATAAATCCACTCATAATACTTGTAATGTTGAAAGACACAGTCGTTTAAAAAAGAGAAAATTGAATAAATGCCTGTAGAGTTTTGAATGCACGAATTTCATTGTGGGTTATTATACTTATTCCAAAAATAAAAAAGTTTAGAATGGTATTCATTGTTATGGTAGGGAAATCGTCTAAACACAAATTAAAATCACTTGCACTCATTGTATAAGGATCTACGCCGTTTAAATTGTTTAACTTTTGTACATATGTGTTTTTCTCTTTGACAGAAAGACATCGTGCATAATCACTTAAATTATTATCCATACTTTAAAAACAAATCACACACCTTCACTTAAACTCGTCACATTAACCTCAAACGAAAATATTAATTTCCGATTTACCGCTTAAAACACACGGATGTGGGTGACAAGGAATTCAGACCAAAACAGCGTTCTGTATTTTTATTTTTATTGTGGTTTTTTTTAAACTCAAATCGCAAAAAAAGCACCCAGATACACAGAAAAGATATGAAAGAAGCTATTCACGTGTTTATTTTCTAGATAAATACCCACACTTTTAAATAAAATGCGAAAATGTTAACAATGTCACTTATGGAGTTTCACGGTGCTTGTCAAACGCTGAGTTCCCGCCACAGCGTGACGTCACGTGTTATTGGCTAATTGAAACACCACTTGTTAATGGTAAATTTGGCAATGTTCATATTCAGACAATTTTCTAACTAAAAGCCGTTGTCAATCAACCGAAAGCTGTAACCAATTGCAAAATTTTAAGCAAAATCAGCAGGTGGTGTTTCAATAGAAATGGCAAGAACAATATATACTAATACTACTTTATCCTATACATTTTATTTGTGAGAAAATAAGTAACGTCTGGGGGCCTTGGGATCTTGCTCTATAACAGCCATTGAAATGCATGCTGTTTTAAATTGCAGCATAATTCATTTAGTTATTATGGGTCTAAATTTCATGCAATTTCCGTTGCGCTTCTTATAAATATGGGCTCCGTTCATTAATTTTCACATGCATGTGTCATACTCAGTGAGAAAATTTATAGGTTCGCGTGTTTTTAGCTTTAAATTTTGAACTTCTGAAAATGGAGTGCAAAGAAACTAAAGAAAATGAATCACTAAATCCTAGTTTTCAATATAGTCGTTGGTTATCATCTCCGCCACGTGGGGATGAAGTGGTTATATCTGGTATGTCAGGTCGTTTTCCAGAATCTGAAAATATTCATGAATTTCGGGATAACCTGTTTAACAAAAAGCAGATGGTTACGGAAAATGAAACAAGATGGAAAGCTGGTTTTAGTAATGTACCGAAAAAAAGTGGTCACATTGTTAATATTAACAAATTTGATGCTGGGTATTTTGGACTGCATTACCGTCAAGGTCATTTTATGGATCCTGGTTTGAGAGTTGTTATGGAAAAGGTTACTGAAGCTGTTATGGATGCTGGTGTAAACCCATCAGAGTTAAAAGGAAGTAGGACTGGCGTATTTTTGGGTCTTTGTTGGTCAGATGTGGAAAATCCTGCGCTCATGAACCAAAAGGTACCGCAGATGTTTGGAATAACAGGGTAAGAACATTTATAAGCAATCTTCAAAACTGAGACAAATAATAACAATCTACTGAGTCATATGTTCTGGATTTCTCTGGATTTCCAGTTTAATGGGGCTGTCAGAAGCCAGCCGGCACTTAAGCCTCGTCTTTGAGCCCATTGTACCTTTCCCACGTCCATATCAGGGTGTTTCTCCGCTCTTCCACTTGTCAAGCCACCCAACTCCCGAATCTCTTTTTCACTTAGTCTTTCTAGCGTTTTCAGCAAGAGTGATATCAAACTAATTGGTCTACTTATACGATTTAGCCAAGATGTAATCTTGTCGTCCTGGCTTAGATATAAAGATAACCTTTACTTTTCTCGATGCGTTCGGTATGTAGCTGAAGGCTACACATGCCCGAAGCATTGACAACAAGATAGGGTGTAGTCTGCTCATTTCCCTCCAGTCTTGCCTCGGTGACTACTTTGCCGCTAGCGCCCAGTCCTTTGGGGAAAGTTGAGTACCGGCTACATCTCTTTTGGAATGGAAGGTAGTCCTTGTGCTGCCTGGAAACATAGTCTGCAGCAAAAGTTCTGCGGAGTCTTCTAAGGTGGTCAAAAAAATGCCATCTTCTTTCTTTAGGAAACCTAGTTGATGTGAGTAGTCCTTCGAGAGAACTCTCTTCAGCATTGCGTTTCCCGTTTCATGTTTCCTAATTCTTTCTTAAACTCTTTCCGGTGCTCTTTATAGGCTTCCCAGTCTTCAGTTTTTTAGTGTTTTTTGCTCTATTGAAAAGTTTTCTTAGCCCCGATTGAAGTAGGATGAGCCTTCGGTTCCACCTTGATGTACATTTGCCCAGGCCTTCCTTCTTTAGGGGGCAACTTTTCTTATAAGATGACATTAGAGAGTCGTTGATAATGGTCAAAGTTTTCTCTATGTCTTCTGTAGATTTATATTCTATTGGTATCGATTGTACGGAGGTCCCCAATCTGTCTTCCAGTTCTTCGTTGTATAAAGCCCAGTTCGTCAGCCTAGGGTCGTAGATCGCAGACACTTATTATTGTTGTCACGCACCATATAATTTTGTTTTACTTGGATAATAAATAATAAAATGGCTTCATAAATTTTGTACGGTTAATAATATAATAGTTGAAAATGTTTTGTTTGTCATTGGCGAGACGTTCGAATTTAGATATAGAAGCAGGATGTTCTGGTAACTTATAAACAATGATGCTGGAACTACGTTTCAGACGTTCACGTACTTTCTGAACAACCGTTTGAAAGTCTGTGGATGAAGATTTCTATTTGTTAATTGAGCATTGTATTGTGTTTATTTGTTCTTTTACTTCAAGCTTCATTATTAATAGCTGTGGTCCATTCGTTGCGGAGATTATTTATCATATATCAGTGAATTTAGAAAAAAACTCTATTCATATATGGTAGTATAGAATAAAAAAATTTTTTTTTGACCAATAATTAGGGGACAACTTCCTCTACCCCTATCCAACTTTCAGTTGATTTCTACAATGGGTTCTCAAGATATTTAACCGTTTCAATACATTTTAGCATTTTGTAACAATAACATTTTTCTTTCAGTTTTATTAGATCTATGTTTGCTCACCGTATTAGTTATCATATGAGACTTAAAGGACCATCATTCACAGTTGACACAGCCTGTAGCAGTTCCGGGAATGCTTTTCATTTAGCATTTCAAGCTATGAGAAGGGGTGAATGTGAAAATGCAATAGTCGCTAGTTGTAATTTGACTATGCATCCTGCAGCTACCATGCAGTTTTATGGGTAAGTCTTGTACGAATAACAAATTTCCTCATCTGACATCTCTTAAAACTGACATTATAACTTAACTACTAAAAAAAAACACAATTTAATAAAGGGTAGATTTTGAATAAATATCTTGATAAGATTACAGTTTCACAGAATGATGAAATTATCTTTTATTATTACATATTAATTTCAGTTGTTTCAGCTGTTTTGGGCATTAAATAATAATAATATTTGCAAAAATATGTTTTACATTATCACTGTTGAGTTACGACGGCTTATGCAAAGTATTTGATGAGAACGCTAACGGCTACGTTAGAAGCGAGGCTTGTGCGTGCCTTTTTCTCCAAAAAGCTAAAAACACGAATCGCATTTACGCAAAAGTTATTAATGTGAAAGGAAACAACGATGGTTTTAAAGACGAAGGAATAACATATCCTTCTTCGGAAATGCAAGAAAAGCTTATAGCTGAAATATATCGTGAAAGTAATATTAGTCCTTCAAGTCTAAGCTACATCGAAGCACATTGCACTGGGACTCGAGTTGGTGATCCTGAAGAAGTGAGGGCTATAGATGAGGCTCTGGCGAAAAATAGAGAACAACAGCTTCTCATAGGTTCAGTAAAATCGAACACCGGTCATACAGAACCTCCGTCAGCTCTATGTTCAATTATAAAAGTAGTGATCGCTCTGGAAACCGGATTTATACCACCTAATATTAATCTTGAAACAATTAGAAGAGGACTAGAAGGGATTGAACAAAACAGAATGAAAGTCGTTACAGACACTACTGAGCTTTTAGAAGATGATGCCATTGTAGGTGTTAACAACTTTGGTTTCGGTGGTAGCAACATTCATGTTATATTGCAACGGTTTAACAAACTTAAAATCGATGGTGGACTGCCGAAGGATGATGTTCCAAGATTAATTTGTGTCAGCGGACGCACTAAAGAAGCAGTTTTGAAAATTTTAAACTACGTTAGCAGCAAAAGTTTAGATGCAGAATATGTGGGTCTCCTCAACCAATTATATAAAAAGAATATTTCAAATCACTCATATCGAGGCTACGCAATAGTTTCCAAACGTGGTGTCCTCTCGATATCTTCGAAACGTTTGCCTATTAAACAACCACGTTTGCATATATTTTTTGGACAATTTGTCAAAAATTTTAAATTACTTGGTTCTTATTTGTTGCAGTTTTTGGCTTTCAGAAACGTGATATCAAGGTGAGTTTAAATCTCTTTATCCATCGTTAACTAAAAGAAAATGTTTTGAATTTTTGGTTGAAGAGTTAATAAAATTTTGGTTGTTAATAAGATAAAAACACTTGAAGAAATTTTCAAATCGAAAATAAATACAAATGAAGATATTTTAGGATCAATATGTTTGCAATTAATCATGGTAGATATTTTTAAAGTGTTGGGACTGTTTCCTAGAAGTGTTTCGGGTGCTACCTTTGGCAAGATCGTCTACGCTTATTCCAATGATATTATGCAAATGGAAGAGGCCGTCATGGGAGCGATAAAACTTAGTAAACCAAAATTTGATTCCGACACGAATAAGTCAGAAAATTTTGTTGATTCTAAAACGGAACAGTTAGTAAATCATGGTGATATCAGTTACGAAACTTCTCACAATATCCCTAAAGGCACAATAATAATAAACATTTCTGATTTTCCGATTACAAATAAAGATAATTTACTGTTTGAAAACGGTACCGTGAATTTTTTGAATGTAGTAGGAAGGTAAAAAATCACAATCGCTGAAATCTGAACACCGTATACTGAATTTGTAGATTATATATGGAAGGTTATCTTCCTCAAGTTCACAAGATTTTCCCTAAAATAGAATTTCCCGTAAGTAGAAGCACCTCCATAATTTCGCCTTCTATTCAGTGGAATCACAGTACATCATGGGACACATTTAAATTTGAAGAATTTGCACCAAAGGGTGCTGAACAAATGGATTATGATATTTCATATTTTTACGAAGAATGTCAGTTTTTAAATGGCCACGTCATCGACGGTAAGTTGAGAGAGTTTTATTTTAAGTTAATAAATGTAAAACTATCAGGACGCAATATTTTCCCTGCCACCGAATATGTAAAATTGGTTTGGGAAACATTTTCCAACTCTAAAACACTAACAACAAATATTACGCCTGTAAAATTCGAAAACTGTAAGTTTCTGAGAGCCCTTACAATGCCGAACACTGGTTACCTATTACTTCATGTAATGCTACAAAAAGGTACAGGCAATTTTGAAATTCTCCATAATGACTCTTTATTAGCAAGTGGGCGTATTACCAGTTGTTCGCATTCAGATAAACAAGAAGTTAATCTTTCGTCTAGCGGTGTTCGGGAAGATGATAAGCTGAAGATATTGACACAAGAAGAAATTTACCGGGAATTTCACTTAAGGGGTTATAATTACAGGTATGTAGTTGTTAGTAAAGTACAAAGTTTTGAAACTTTTTTGTAGTGGATTGTTCAAAGCTATTAAGGCATTTAATGTGGATGCGTCTCTGGGTTTAATCAAGTGGGATGATAATTGGAGTACTTTTATGGATAATATGCTTCAGCTGCAACTCCTTCAAACAGATACAAGATTACTTTACGTTCCCACTGGAATTAAGAAAATAATTATTGATCCTATCAAACATAAACACGTCGTTGAAAGCCAAAATGAACAAGAGTGTTTTCTGCCCGCATATGTTAGCAAGAACTCTAACATGATAATGTAAGTTAGGTCGTAAAAACATACCGTTAATGTAAAGAGTTATTTCATTTAGGTCTGGTGGAATTGAAATACACGGAATTCGTGTTAAATCCGCCTTTAGAAAGAAAGGAAGATTGGAACCAGTTTTAGAAAAACACGTTTTCGTTCCTAATAATACGACTTTAGAGTTAGAAGAAGTTGTCAGGGTCAATACACAGATTATCTTGGAAAATACTTTGGAATATCACTTTAAAGCTGTGGAAATTATTAACGAATTTACTGATATAAATTCTGAACACATATTGTGTTTCGTTAACAAAGCCTTAGCAGATATTCCAGTAGTTGCCCCTGATCTTACCGTTTCGTCTAAAGCAGCTATAAATGACACACCTGGCATAAAATACGAAACAATTACTTTAACGCCAGAAAGTAATATACTTTTGTATATCGGCAGTAAAATTTTACAACAATCAATAACTTTAAAACAATTTTTCGTGCCTCTTAGCGAAAACGGTTTTGTCTTAACGCTCGAGGAAATCAGTTTTAGGCCAGAAAAATGTATTGATGGAGTAGAAATTCTCACAGACTATTCAACACCAAACGAAAGAATTATTTTATTTCGGAAAAAAGTGACAACTGTTAAGCCCAAATGCATTGAAGTGTCTTCGACTAATTTCGAGTGGCTACCGGAATTACAAAATTCTTTAAGTCAGAGGAATAATGTAATCACTTATGCAACGAACCAACAACCTGAAGGAATCTTGGGTTTGATCAACTGCATCAGACGCGAAAAAGACGGAAACTTAGTTAAGTGTTTCTTTATGATGGACGATGCTCCAGGATTCGACTTCCAGCACTGGTTTTATGCCGAACAAATTAGTAAAAATTTGGCTACAAATATATTTAAGAATGGGTCTTGGGGAACATACAGACATCTCCGTTTGGAAGAAATTCCCAAGATCAATAGTGAACACTCCTACGCGTATTTCAAACATAGAGGTAATATGTCGAGTTTTGAGTGGTTAGAAGGACCCTTAAACAGAGAAGTACCACTTCCAGAAGGGCAAATCTTGGGTTTAGTAAGTTGTATTATGACACATGTTTATATATTCAACTGATTATTTTCTGTAGACTTATTATTCGCCAGTTAACTTTAAAGATATAATGGCTGCATCTGGTCGTGTAAACCCAGAAATATTACAACCACATCGACTGGCTCAAGAAGTGCTAACAGGGTTTGAGTTTTCAGGAAAAGATTTAAGGTTTGATTGTTTATATCTTTGGATAGAAAACCGTAGAATTCATTTGCAGAGGTCGTCGGATAGCTGGGATAACAAACTCTCAAGGAATTTCTTCCGACGTTAGTGTTGATTCTTCCACAATTTGGCAAGTACCCAACGCATGGACACTCGAAGATGCAGCCACAGTTTCTGCTGTGTACATTACCGTTCTTTATGCTCTTTTACTGGTAGTGTATGAAAAACTGGTCGAAGGTTATTTCGACTGACTTTCCTCGTATTTGAAGTCAAACATGCAAACAAAGTATTGAATTTTTGAAAGGCATTGGCCTTACATAAGGCGAAATGTGAACTAGGATGAGATTTGAACGCACGGGTGCATTCTGAAGTTGTCCAAAGTCATCGCCTAAACTCTCACGCGAAATGTCGGGTGGAAATCCAGGCAGACGGTAGACGAGAGACAGACAGCCAGAGATGGAAACCGGAAGCTTATTGTTTCGTACTGTCGACGTCAAAAAAAATCCAAAAACATGGACAATTAACAATTTTACTTTAAAATTGCGCAATCACATGTTTTGAAAAGTTTCCAGTTCATTGTTAGACCTTTTTTTCTCTATAACAGGTATTATCGAAATATTTAAAAAAAACACTGAATTTGTTTGACTGTACTTTAGAAACGAGGGAGGTTTGGTCTATTAATAAGAGAGAAATTTTTGTCCAACAGGTTGGGAATATGCGACCGGGTTGTTCAATTCTTATTCACTGTGCGACTGGTGGTATCGGATTGGCCGCCTTGAACGTATGCCTTCACTATAAATGCGACATTTACGCAACCGTTGGTAGTGAAAAGAAAAGGGCCTATTTAAATAAGCATTACCCTCAAATTCCGAACAACCACATTGGAAACTCACGGGATACGTCATTTGAACAAATGATCAAAAGGGAAACTGAGAGTAGAGGAGTTGATTTTGTTCTGAACTCTTTAAGTGAAGATAAGTTACAAGCATCAATTAAATGTTTAGCTCGCAAAGGTCAACTTATGGAACTCGGCAAATATGATTTGGCTAATGATAGTTATTTAAATCTTTTACTCATGGAAAAGGAAGCAATTTATCATGGAATAGTGTTAGATGCATTTTTCAGAAATTCAGTTATAGAAACGAAATCTAAATTGACAGAATGTTTGTTGGAAGGAATTAAAGCTGGTTTTGTAAAACCGCTGCCTAGAGTTTGTTTCAATGCAAATCAGGTAGAGGAATCGTACAAGTATATGATGTCAGGGCAACATATTGGTAGAATTTTGGTTAAACTTAGAAATGAAGAAGATATTGACAATGACGATACCGGGATTGAAAAATTTCAAATCAGTTCTAAGCCACGGTAAGTTATCATCTATCAGTGAAAACTGCTGGATGGTTTCATACGAATACACCACATTTGCTCAGGTATTTAGTATTAATATTCAATAGAAAATGTAACGGAAGTTTTAAGTCCCTGAACTATCATTTTCTAGGAGAAAAAATTGCTTCAAATACGTAAACTTCCAAAAGTAGCCTACTTTACCCCGTGAAATCGTTATATTGGGAAATAAATACTAATTTGAAACTTTCAGGAAATGTGGTCCCTACGTTCGTTTTGTTACAATTTCTAATATATTTCTCAATGGTTCCCAAAGACATATTATTAAGTGTTTCGTAAGCTGAGAGTGTGATAAGTGTGTAGAATTGTTTGGTGCACCATTTGGACAAAAGCACTTTTACGGTGACCGAAGACGCCGATGCTGACCCATAGAGAACTTTTTTTAAATGATAAGGAGGTCGAAATAGATCATGGAAGCGTGCTGCCTATCACTTTGTGCGAACTTTACTAAATGCGCAAGGACTCACAACAAATACCCCCCGCATCTGATTGCCCAAATATTTCAAACGAAATAAATTTACTGTGGTTAAAGATCACAGTAAATCTTTAAAAGATTCACCATTTTCTTTAAGGCACATGTTTATCCCTTTTTCAATTTCAAAAATGTTCTGCTAAGACAATCTTGTCAAAGATGATTGCGAATTCCGCTCGAGCCGTCTCAAATCATCAACAACTTTCTCAGATACTGAAAGTATCAACAGAAGATTTTCTTTTCTTGATATAGCGAAGCGGAATTTTTCAAATCCATTACCAACTACGCCCTCTGAATGGAAAAAAAAAATAAATAAATAAACTTTTAGCGTTTTATTAATGTATGCTCTGGTGCTGTTGCAAACTTTGCTAATGTAGGGATATTAGTGTTGGGGGTGCTAGCAATTAATCCTAAGTAAAATGGCATTTTCTTTAAAGGTTTAATTGTGACGTGCGTTACACATACATTATTGTTGGTGGACTAGGCGGAATAGGTTTAGAACTTGCTGATTGGTTGGTTCTAAGGGGTGCCAGGAAGCTAGTGTTAACGTCCAGATCGGGACTACAAAGTGGTTACCACCAACAAAGAATAAAGTAAAGTACATTGTCTGAATGAATTTTGGCTTTCAAAAATCTATTTTAGTATCTGGAAATCATACGGTGTCCAAGTTAAAGTCTGTACTAATGACGTGACAACTGAACAAAAGTGTGAAGATCTAGTTAAAGAGGCGAATGAACTGGGAGAAATCGATGCCATTTTTAATTTGGCTGTTGTTCTTCAAGACGCACTATTCCAAGATCAGACTAAAGAAAATTTCCTTGCTTCGTTCACACCAAAAGCTCACGCCACGGTATTTTTGGATAAAGTTAGCAGGAAATTATGTCCAAATTTAAGGTTTTCCATCAACGCCAACACAAGAAATGATTTTATACGATGTGTTCTAGATATTTTGTTGTGTTTTCGTCAGTCTCTTGTGGCCTCGGTAATGCGGGTCAGAGCAACTATGGTATGGCTAACTCTGTCATGGAAAGAATATGCGAGAATCGAAAACGAGAAGGATTGCCTGCTGTAGCTATTCAGTGGGGGGCAGTCGGTGATGTAACTAATAATTTTTTAAAGTTTCTTAAAATGACACGTATGTTAAAGGTTGGTTTAGTAGCGAAAATGCAGAAGGAGCATAAAGAGTTAGTGATTGGTGGAACTCTGCAGCAAAAAATTTCAAGCTGTTTTGAAGTGTTAGATGTGCTATTAAAACATAATTATCCAGTTGTTTCTAGTATGGTGGTGGCCGAAAAACACCACAAAGGTGATATTCTCAGTGCGGTTGACGCGATTGCTCACATTATAGGAATAAAAGACATAAAAACTGTAAGTCCGTATGCGACCTTTGCAGAACTTGGTATGGATTCGATGATGGGCACGGAAATTATCCAACTTCTGGAAAACGATTTTGAAATATACGTAACTCCTAAGGATATTCGGAGTTTAACGTTTGCAAAGTAACGTGCTATTAAAAATTAACTCTTAAGCTCAAACGTCGTTACGTCATTTCAGATTGGCTGAAATAGAAGCAGAAAAGTTGACCAAAAATGAAATTTTTAAAAAAATACAACAAGGCATAAATTTGCTCATTCATTTCATTTCTGATATCGAATCTAGTGATTTGCCTGTGGTTCAATTAACAAGCCAAGTACAATCCTCTGAAGAGGCTCCAACAGTGTTTGTGTTACCAGGGGTCGAGGGGGCCTTCAAACCGCTAGAAGTTTCAACCAGTTCGTTGAAGGCGCATGTTGTTGGAATACGATACAACAACAAACATCCTGAAAATAGCGTTGAACAAATTGCAAAAAATATTATTTCGGTTTGTTTTAGTTCTACATGTGTTATAGTGTTTCAAAAGTTTATCAATTTTTAGCATATTGAATGTCGTTTAGCCAAAAATATTTCATTTTTTGTGATTGGTTATTCATTCGGTACTACAGTTGCATTAGAACTTGTTAGCTTATTGGAAAACCGAGGAATCTTCGGCACAGTTATTCTGATAGATGGATCCCCGACATACTTAAGCTCTGGTTTAAGGAAAAATATAGGGGGCGAAGAGACTGAACTTCAAATGGCAATTTTGTATAAAGTTTTTAGTATTGTAATTCCTTATGACGTACTTTCGGAGCATCAGGTAATATCAGTAATTTTTTCTTCTTATCATTTGCTATTGTTGGTATTTTAGGGAGCATTGTTAAAGGCGAAAGATTTAGAACAACGTATTGATGTCGCTCTAGATCTTATACCTCAAGAAACCACTAACAAACAGAAACTAGACAAACAAGACAAACAAATACCTGTTGCTCTATATAAACGTTTGAAAGCAATTATGAATTATACATTTGGAGAAACGAAAATCAAATCTTTAGTACCCTTATTCAAGGCAAAGTATTCGATGGTTGACGACGATGATGACTACCAGTTATCAAAAGTGAGTGAGAATTTAGCACAAGTGGTTACAATAAATGGTGACCATGTAACGATTTTAAATAATCCAGACCTTGTTAAGAGTATCAATAACATTGTAACATTGTAGCTACAGCCTTTTTTATTTGTGGTTTTATTTTTATAAATTACACTAATCAAAATTAAAGGTTATGGCATCGATTGTTTTTTATTTTAAATCGCCATCTTTTAATAAACGAGTATTCGTTGCGCTTACTTTTATACATAACAATCTTAAATACACAAAGTTCGCGACTGTACACCAGAATCCAGAATACAAGTTGTTACGTCCCGTCTGGTAGGAGCAGGGTGGTGCAGGTGTTGCACACAAGATAGTTCAGCTTCGACTGCCCGTTTTCATATTCTAACCTATTTACACTTTTGTACATTGGGTTGCCTAACTTAAACTTAACTATATGACATCTCCTTTCTTTTTAAATAAACTAAACAAAAGCATGATTTCTTTTCTTACTTATGCTACTTAAGATTCTACTACAAACTCTTTGAATTTCGCTGGCAGAGTTACAGTGCGTTTTGGGCGCTGTAGTGGTTCAACATTAACCTCTCTGCTTTGTCTGCACAGAACACTTTCTTTTTTTTCCGCACTCGAACTATCACTGTTATCATCACTGTCACTGTTATTGCTAACACTACTGTTTACAATTTTGCTTTCATCATGGGAGTATACGTACTCGTCTGTCGTATATGGTTTACAATCATTTTCAGGATCAGGGAAATCTACGTTTTCAATTGTTGGTTTTATGTAATAAGCATTTCTGACTATATATTTCCCATCACCCTTTCTTATTTTATACGTACGTGGTCTGATTTTTTGTACAATTTTACCTAGTTGCCACGTACTTTTAGGCTTTTCTTGAAATCTAATCGTGGTATTTGGACAATATTCATGTTGGTTTAGTTTCGCATTTCTGTTGTAATAGTATTGACTTTTAACCTTTTGGTTTTCAAGTTTAGAATGATAAATTGATTTATTAATTACTTTGGGTTCTAATTTGTTTTCCAATACTGGCAAATTTTCTCTTAGGTGTCTACTCATTAGAATCTGGGCTGGAGTAAATGAATTGAGAACAGGGGTGTTTCTAAAAGATAATAATGCTAAGTTATGGTCTGTTCCATCTTCCATGGATTTCTTCATAATTGTTTTTATAGTCTGAATTGTCCGCTCTGCTTGTCCATTCGATTGTTGGTGATACGGACTAGAATTTGTTATTGTGAAATTCCATAACTTTGCAAATTGTTCGTATTCTTTGCTTTTAAGTTGTGTTCCGCTGTCGCTTATCACTATTTTCGGAATACCGTGGCGTGCAAAAATTTCTTTTAATTTGGATATGACATTTCTGGAGGTCATATTTTTGTTCAGGTTTACTACCTCTGGGTATTTTGAATAGTAGTCGATTACTAACTAATAAATAAATTTCATTTTTTATGTTAAATATATCAAGGCCTAGTTTTTGCCATGGTTTTTTGATAATGTTGTGTGGCTTCATTGCATCTCTTTGATTTGATCTTGCGTATTTATTGCAAATGTGACACTTGCGCACATAAATTTCTATATCATTTGTTATTCCGGGCCAATAAATCGCGTTTTGACATCTCTCAATGCACTTTTGTATGCCCAAATGGCCTGTGTGAATATTTTTTAGAATATCATTTCTGAGAGTTTTTGGAATGATTAAACGTTGTCCCATATATAATAATCCGTTTCTGCCCTCACTTATCTCAGCTCTTAATTTATAAAAAGACTTCAGTTCATATTTTAATTTATTTGTACTACTTGGCCAACCATTATTTGTGAAACTTCTTAACAATCTTAGCTCCTGATCTTTTTTTGTTTCTTGAACCATTTGATCAAGTTTTTCATTTGTGATTGAAATATTTTTTACTATTAAACATACTTGATGTTCTAAGTCTAATTTGTCATCATACGTTGATTTTGGATTGGAACGAGGTAAGTTATCTGCGATTACTAGCTCTTTACCTGGTTTGTAAATTAAATTTATATCATATTTTTGCAGTGTCAATAGCATTTTCTGTAGGCGTGCTGGGCACGAATTTAATGGTTTTTTAAATATTGATATTAGGGGCTTATGGTCCGTTTCAACTGTGAACCTGTTTCCATATATAAATTGGTGGAATTTATTGACTCCAAAACAAATTGCAAGTAACTCTTTTTCTATCTGTGCATACCTCTGTTGTGTCTCTGTCATGGCTCTCGATGCATAAGCACATGGTTTATTATCCTGGAGTAAAACTGCTCCAAGTCCATTTTTGATGCATCAACAGAGATTGTTACTGGCTTTTGAGTGTTAAAGTAACTTAATATGGACGAATTTGTTATTATATTTTTAAGATCCTCGAAGGCTTCAGCCTGTGGTGTGTCCCAAATAAATTCATTACCATCTTTAATTAATTGTCTTAATGGATAAGTCTTTTCCGATAAATTATTTACGAATTTACCTACGTAAGTTATAAGACCAAGAAACCTTTGAAGTTCTTTTTTGTCTTGAGGAATTGGAATCTCTTTCACTGCCTTAATTTTGTCCTCATCAATGTGTACACCTTTAGCTGTGAATTTGTAGCCCAGATATGTGATTTCATTTAGTCCAAATTTACATTTTTCTTTCCTAAATTTTACATTGTGTCGTTTTGCAAGAGCTAATACTTTTTCCAAAATTTTGTCATGTTCTTTTTTTGTTTCTGCATGAATCAGAATGTCGTCTATGTAAACTTCAACTCCTTTTATATTAAAAATTTCTTGAAAATATTCCTGGAATACTTCACTAGCCGTTTTAATTCCATAGGGAAGTCTTTTAAATCTATATCTTCCCAGTGGCGTGCCAAACGTGCACAATTTGCTGGATTCTTCGTCTAGAGAGACGTTCCAGAATGCAGTGGTAGCGTCTAATGTCGTAAAATATTTTGATTTATTTAATTTCGCGCTGATTTCATCGATTCTAGGTAATTTGTATGGCTGTGAAATTATGACTTTATTTAGTTCTCGTGGGTCCAAACATAACCTTAAAGTATTATCCGATTTTTTTGTAAGAACAAATGAACTAACCCATTCAGAAGGGCCTGTTACTCTTTCGATAATTTCTAAATCTACCAAATTTTGAATGCATTTTTCGAATTCATGTTCAAGAGGAATCGGTACACTGCGCACAGGTTGAATTACTGGCAGTGCATTTTGTTTGATTTTGATGCTATAGGAATTTTTTAATTTGCCAATACCTTCAAACACATCTTTATATTTTTTTATTATTGGGTGATACTCACATTCATTTCTTTTGATTTTTATTTCATCTATGTTATCTTTTAGACTAATCAAACCAAGATGAATACCAGAGTCCAAACCGATTATGCTTCCACTATTGCTCTTATCTACATAAAATTTAAGCTCATGTTCTTTATCATTTACTACAACTTTCAAAATGCAAACTCCGAGAATGGGAATTCTTTGACCTGTAAATGTTGTTAATTTGACATCATTGCATTTCTGAATGTTGTTGTAACTGAAGCCTAAGTTCTTAAAAGTAGAAAATGGTAAAACATTAACAGTAGCGCCTGTATCTAACTTAAATGATACAACTTGATTCCTAATTTTTAATTTGACTAGACATTTTTTATTTACTGCATTGTGATTTTCAATAGTTTCAATACTCAATGTTTGAATTTTACTGCTATGTGTCTTCTTTTTACATAAATTCTTGAAATGACCTATTTTGTTGCATTTATGACATAATTTGCCATATGCTGGACATTCGTTGATTTTATGTGAGAAACCGCAGCGGGTACAATGTTGAATTACCTTGGGCCTACCTTGATACAGTTGTCTCAAAGATTTTTTGTTGTTGTTGGACACCTGCGACGTCTTATGTTTTGCCTCGAACGCCATTGACCTTGGATTCGCACGACTCGATGCCTGTTTGTTCTTGTTTGAGTTTTCTCTATTTATCGCGTCGATCTCTCCTGCCTGACTACTTGTTCCTGTTTCCATTTCCTGCAGTTGTTTCCTTGAATTTTCAGTCACTATACACATTTCTATTGCCGTTTCTAATTTCAATCCACTTTTGTGGAGTAGCTTCTCTCTTGTCGGGTCATCTTTAATTCCTACTATTAACATTAACGTTGTTAATTCTTCTTGGAGTGTTCCAAGCTCACATTGTTTGGCTTTATTTTTGAGCAATGTAATGAACTCTTCTATTGACTCCTCCTTCTGTCTTATTGTGAAAAACTTATATCTCTCGTATACTAAGCTCTTCTTCGGGATGAAGTGACTATCAAATTTTTTTTTCAGAGTTTCAATTTTGTCCTTTTCTGATTTGGCAAACTCAAATGTGTTGTAAATATCGATAGCTTCGTCCCCTAGCAAGTGTAGAAGTTGTGCACACTGGATTTTTTCTGATTTTTTATCTGACTCCGATGCGATAGTGTATATTTCATATCGCTGCTTCCACGCTTTCCAATTGGCTGCTAAATTCCCGTTCATTTCCATCGCTGGGATGGGTTTTGTCTCCATTATTGCTTTTACTTATTAATCACTTATTTGACTTTCACTTCATTTATTCACTTTTTGTATTCGACTGCGCCATGTTACGTCCCGTCTGGTAGGAGCAGGGTGGTGCAGGTGTTGCACACAAGATGGTTCAGCTTCGACTGCCCGTTTTCATATTCTAACCTATTTACACTTTTGTACATTGGGTTGCCTAACTTAAACTTAACTATATGACACAAGTTTAAGTAGTTTTGAAATGAAGTCATGCAAGTTTGAAAAAACTTGTTCACTTCTACCTTTCAGTGGCGCCGGTCTAAATTTTGCACTAAGTAGGTCCCATCTGCCCCTGCAGACGAACCAAAAGAACTAATTTAGATTTTGATTCATATTATAGTTGAATGACATTCTTTTGTTCAATTCAGCATAATACTGATGCTAACTTGTTGTGCAGGGGTATTATAAATATTTCTTACTTGGTTTTTGCCGCCTATATTTCTGAGTGTACATAAATTATTTAATTAATATATGGTTTTGTTTATTTGATTATAATTAACATGCTCGATTACAAGGGAGCT